ACTGTTTACAATAGCAAAGACTTGGAACCAATCCAAATGCCCATCCATGAAAGGCTGAATAAAGAAAATGTAGCACACATACACCATGGAATATTATGCAGCTGTAAAAAAAGGATGAGTTCATGTCCTTTACAGGGACATGGATGAAGCTGGAAATCATTATTCTCAGCAAACTGACACAAGAACAGAAAACAAAACACCGCCTGTTCTCACTCATAAGTGGGTGTTGAACAATGAGAATACGTGGACACAGGGAGGGGAACATCACACACCAGGGCCTGTTGGGGGAGGGGGAGCTGGGTGAGAGATAGCAGGTGGTGGGGAGATTGGAGAGGGATAACATTAGGAGAAATACCTAACGTAGGTTAAGCGGAGATGAATGCAGCAAACCACCATGGCACAAGTATACCTATGTAACAAACCTGCATGATTTGCACATATACCCAAGAACTTAAAGTATAATAAAAAAAATTTAAAAATAAAAATAAAATTCAAAATATCTTGAGGCAAAAAAAATTAAAAACAACATACCAAAACTTATGCAACACAGCAAAAGCAGTTCTAAGAGGGAAGTTTACAGGGATAAATGCTTCCATGAATAAAAAAGAAAGATCTCAAATAAACAATCTAACTTTACACGTTCAGGAATTTTTTTAAAAAATAAATAAACTAAGTATAGATTTTGTATAAAGAAGGAAATAGCACAGATCAGAACAGAAATAAAATAAATAGATACTAAAAAACAATGAAAAAGATCAATGAAACTGAGACTGGTTTTATGAAAAGATAAACAAAATCAACAAATATTAAGAAAATAGGAGATAAGACTCAAATAAAGGATAAAATCGCAAATTAAACACAAACATGACAACCAGTACCACAGAAATACAAATAATCAGAATATTATTAACAATTGCATGCCAACAAATTGGATAAGCTAGAGGCAATGGATAACCTCATAGATATACACAATCTACCAAGACTAAATCATGAATAGGAAAACTGAGCAGACCAATAATGAATAAGGAGATTGAATTGGTAATCAAAAACCTCCCAAAAAAGAAAAAGGCAGGGTCCTATACCTTCACTGGTGAAGTCTACAAAATATTTAAAGAGTTATTAATATCAATCCTTCCCCAGCTCTTCAACCAAAGAGGAGGGAACACTTCCAAACTCATTTTTCTTTCTTTTCCTTTCCTTTGAGATATGGTCTTGCTGTTACCCAGGCTCACTGCAACCTCTGTCTCATGGGCTGAAGTCATCCTCCCACCTCAGCCTCTCGAGCAGCTGAGACTACAAACTGCATGCCACCAGGCCTTGCTATTTGTTTTGTTCCTTTTTGTGTTTTTTTGAAACTAAGTTTCTCTCTATCACCCAGCTGGAGTGCAGTGGCTCAATCTCGGCTCACTGTAGCCCCTGCCTCCCAGGTTCAAGTAATTCTCCTGCCTCAGCTTCCCAAGTAGCTGGGATTACAGGAACCTACCAACATACCTGGCTAATTTTTCTATTTTTAGTAGAGAAGGGGTTTCACCACTTTGGCCAAGCTGGTCTCGAATTCCTGACCTCAGGTCATCTTCCTGTCTCAGCCTCCCAAGGTGCTGGGATTACAGGCATGAACCACCAGGCCTGGCCTTTTTTTTTTTTTAATTTTTTTATTTTTATTTTTATTTTTTAGTAGAGACAGGTTTTCACCATGTTGCCCAGGGTGGTCTCAAACTCCTGGGCTCAAGCAATCTGCTTGCCTCGACTTCTCAAAGTACTGCAATTACAGATGGGAACCACTGCACTGAGCCCAAATCCACTTTCTAAGGCCAACATTACCTTGATACCAAACACAGTTGAGGGCACTACAAAAAAAAAAAAAAAAAAAAAAAAAAGTTACAGGTCAATATCCCTGATGAACCTAGGTGCAAAAATCCTCAACAGAATATTAGCAAACTGAATTCAACAGTACATTATAAGTATAATATACCTTCATCAAGTAGAATTTATTCCTGGGATGCAAGGATGGTACATTTGTACATCTCTAAATGTGATACACCACTTTAAAAAAATGAATAATAAAAATCATTTGATCATCTCAATCGATGCAGAAAATGTATTTGAAAAAAATTTCACATTTTTTCACAACCATTTTTTCTGAATCAATTAGGTATAGGAATGTCATATATGGCAAACAACCAGCTTATATCAAAAGTAAAAAAAAAAAAAAAAAGCATATTCAAGAGTAAAAAGCTGAAAGATTTTCTTCTAAGATCAAACAAGAATGAGACATTTCTATTTAACATGGCACTAAAAGTCTTAGCCAGAACAATTACATAAGAACAATAAATAAAAGGCATCTGAATAAAAAATACACGTAAAATTGTCTCTCTGTGTTAGTCCACTTGAGTTGTTAAAACAAAATACTATAAATTGGGTAGCTTAAATACAGAAGTTTATTTTGCATTGTTCTGGAGACTGGAAAGTCCAAGACCAAGACAGATTTTTGTTACTCATGGGAGTCAGCTTCCTCATAAATGGCATCATGTTGCTGTGTCATCATATGGTGGAAGGGGTGAAGGGTCTCTTTAGGGCCTCTTTTATAAGCACACTAATGCCATTAATGAGAGCTCTGCCCCTATGACCCAATTAGTCCTTTAAGGCCCACATCCTAATACCATCATGTTGAAGTGAGGATTTCAATATATAAGTTATAAGGGAACACAAACATTCAGACTGTAGCACCCTGTTTGCAAATGACATAATCCTTATAAACTCTGAAACACATTCAATAAAGTTGAAGACTACAAAATCAACATTCAAAAATTTGTTGCATTCTATACACTAAAAACAAAATGTCCCAAAAAGAAATTAAGGAAACAGTCACATTTACATTAGCATCAAAAAGAATAAAACAAGAATTTAACCAAGGAGGTAAAAGATTTCTACATTGAAAATGTTTGCAAATCCCATATCCAATAAAAAGTTAATATCTAAAATATATAAGAAAATCACAAAATTCAGAGCAAAAAAAGACACATGACCAGAAAATGGACAAAAGTTCTGGAGATCTAATGTACAGCTTGATGTTTATAGTTAATAATAATGTATTTTATACTTTCAATTTGCTAAGAGAGTAACTCTTAAGTATTATCAGTACACACATTGAGAAAAGTGGTAACTGTGACGTGATGGATATGATAATTGGCTTGATTATGGTAATCATTTCACAATGTATACATATATCAAAACATTACTTTGTACACCTTAAATATATACAATTTTAACTTGTCAATCATATCTCCATAAAGCTGAGGAAATTTTTTTAGTCTGTTCACCAAAAGCAATTGTGACAAAAATAAAAATTGACAAATGGGTTCTATTTAAAGAGTTTCTGCGGAGTAAAAGAAATTGTCAACAGAGTAAACTATCAACAGACAACCTACAGGATGGGAGAATATATTTGCAAACTATGCATCCAACAAATGTCTAGTATTCAGAATCTGTAAGAAAATTAAACAAATTAAGCAAAAAACAAATAACCCCATCAAAAAGTGGGCAAAGGACATGACAGACTTTTCAAAAGGAGACACACAAGCAGCTAACAACCATATGAAAAATGGCTCAATATCACTATCATAAGAGAATTACAAATAAAAACCACAATGAGATTCCATCTCACACCAGTCAGAATGAATATTATTAAAATGTCAAAAAATAACAGATGTTGATGAGGTTGCAGAGGAATAGAAACATTTATACATTGCTGATGGAAATGTAAATTAGTTCAGTGATTGTGGAAAGTCGCGTGGCGATTTCTCAAAGAACTCACAACAGAGTTACTGTTTCACCCAGCAGTCCCATTATCGGGCACATACTCAAAGGAATATAAACTGTTCTTCCATAAAGACATATGCACACATATTTTCATCAAAGCATTATTCACAGTCACAAAGTCATGGAATCAACCTAAATGCCTAGCAACAGTAGACTAGATAAAGAAAATCTAGTACATATATACCATGGAATGCTATGTAGCCAGAAGAAAGAACAAGAGCATGTCTTTTGCACAACATGGATAGTGCTGGAGGCCATAATCCTAAGCAAACAAACACAGGAACAGAAGACCAAATACTACATGTTCTCACTCATAAGTGGAAGTTAAGCCCTAAGTATACATGGACACAAAGAAGGGAAAAACAGATACCAGGACCTGTTTGGGGGTGGAGAGCAGGAGGAGGGAGAGGATCAGAAAAAAACCCATCAGGTACCAGGCTTAGTATTGCAGTGAAAACCTGTGCACTAAACCCTGTTACACAGGTTAACCTACACAACAAACCTCTGTGTGTATCCCTAAATCTAAAAAAAAGTTTTTTAAAAATTCTGTTTATTGATCAGTATTTCCTTCAGAAAATAAGAATATGTGTGTTTGTGCGCATGCATGTGTGTGTGTGTGTGTGTGTATGTGTGTTTTGGGTCAGCACTTTTGAAAACTAAAGTGAAGACTTTTCTTGTGTGTGTGTATTTCCTTCAGAAAAGAATATGTGTGTGTGCATGCACGTGTGTGTATGTGTATATGTGTATATGTATGTATTGATCAGCACTTTTGAAAACTAAAGTGAAAACTTTATCTTACATGTCTGTGTGAGTGTGTGTGTATGTGTGTGTGTGTGTGTGTTTTGGTCAGCACTTTTGAAAACTACAGTGAAGACTTTACATTCACTGATAAAATTTGATTTTTTGTATATTTAATTTTCTGTGTCAACACTCTTCTGTGTTATTTGGGTGAGTGAAACCAAATGATAAAAAGTAAATTTACTGAGGATCTAGAAAGGCAACTATCCTTAAAGGACTAGCATTCAGAAATGAATTTGGAGCTTGTGAACTATTTTTTGTCTTGTTATGGTACTTAACTATTAACTTTGGCAAAACCTAACCTCTCTGTCCATCTTTTAACATATACACAAAAAATAAAACTAAAAATAGCAAGCAACACACCCATCCTGAACCAACCTAAGCAGGCAGTACAAATTAAAGAAACTGAAGGTTAGATTAAAGGAGTCTTTTGTGCTTTGTAATTTAAAACTTTTGTTCTTCATAACCAGAATCAATTCATTCACAGGCTCATTAATGAGGTTTTATCTCTGGCAAATAGTAATTAAAAAGTTCACACTGTGAATTAAAAAGTTCACCCTAGTTCACACTAGTGCTAAGCCACTATGCTAGTCACTTATATAATCAGTAGGCCACAAAGTTATAGCTAAATAGGAAAAATAAGTTCTAGTGCTCTATACCATTGTAGAATAACTATAGTTAACAATAATATATATTTTCAAATAGCTACGAGGATATTGAACACCCCTAACACAAATAAATAAATGTTTGAGATGATGGCTATGCTAATAACCTTGATTTGATCACTATACATTGTATGTATTAAAACATTACTATGTACTCCATGAATATGGAGTACAATTATTATTTGTCAATCAAAAAATAAAAAATATGGCCGGGCACAGTGGTTCAGGCCTGTAATCCCTGCACTGAGGAACACCAAGGCCGAAAGATTGCTTGAGTCCAGCAGTTCAAGACCAGCCTGGGGAACATGGTGAATCCTTGTCTTGTCTTTACTAATAATACAAAAATTAGCTGGGTGTGGTGGTGCATGCTTGTAATCCCATCTACCATGGAGGCTAAGACATGAGAATCACTTCAACCCAGAGGTGGAGGTTGCAGTGAGACAAGATTACCACTGCACTCCAGTCTGGGTAACTGAGCAAGAATCTGTCTCAAACAGAATAATAATAATAATAAATTTAAAAGAATAAAATAAACTTTAAATTTCTTCTGTAACTAATGCATCATGCAAATTTGACTTTGCTGAATACTTTACTGTGAACTCTCGTCAATGTTAAATATTGTTGTTGGACTTTGCCTTCCCTACTAGATATAGTTGTGTTATTTTATCATCTCCTGTTGGCTTTTGGTTTTCAAAGTTATTTCTTTTTTTCTAATTTTTGCCAACACTTAGGCACTCCTAAACTCCATAACCTCATAATGCATTGTAAATATTGGAAACTTTCTGAAGAATTTAATAAGAGATATACCAAAGCCCATTTTAATGACTTATAATAAAATCATTCATAATGCCTTTATTAGTAACTGAATAAATAAAGAAGATCAGGTATTTACATAAAGCACATTTTTAACAATAAAATGAATTTTTTTCAGGCCAATGGTTTGATTGCTACTAAAATAAATTCACCACTCTGGCTAAGAGCTGAGGCAGCAAACGTGCAGCTCACGACCACATGAGTATCAGAACTGAGACTTTGTTCTCATTAGCTCTGAGTAAATGAGCTAAACAGAGCTAAACAGATAATGCCCTAGGTATATCAGGATATAGCAAATGAGTCTCTTAGGAGTTGAGCTCAAGTAATAAAGAGACAAAAGAAATACTGGGATAACTAGGATTTTACATTCGTAAATGTACAGAAGCCAAATGTTATTGAATAGGTGGAACCACTGACATGGTAAAAATAAAAATCTCTATACTTTAAGAAACTATTTTTATAATTCTTTACAATCCACTGTTTCTTGAAGAGCAGATAAATCTGAGTTGCACTGGTTGCATAATTCAGTCTTTAAAGAATACATCACAATTGCTAGACTGAAAGGCTCTGGAGGCCAGGTCTTCACCTTTTGCCTCTTGATAACTGTAGTACCAAACCCAGTAATGAATGGTCCTGACAAACGCCGATGTTTCTCAAACCTGCATGTGTATGTCCATATATTTATTTATAAACACTAAAACATGAAAAAAATGCTTATTCTTTTCATTTCAGAGATGCTACTGAATTAAACAATGGCTTTATTGCACAGCACCTAGCACAAGTATCAGGTAGCACAGTTTTAATTTGTTGAATGAATGAATGAATGAATGCAGATTTCTGAGAGCCATATACTTTATAGTGATTTTCATCATACCTAAATGAGTCGGGAGTAACCCTCTTTTGACATCTTTAGGAAAAAATGTAAATATAAACACAAAATAATTTAATTCTTTAATTTAGAAAATTCCCTGTTTTTTAGACTCATGTATCAGCCTTCTCATTTCCAGACTAGATTTTTTAAATTCATTTTATCCTGGCATTCACAACTGGGGCTCCCCTCTCTCTGAGTGAGTGTGTGCTGGAAAGAAATGGACCTCTGCTTATATGCTGGCGTTTCCCAAGCACATTGAACTGAATCCAAGCAGCCATAGTTGGTGCTCCACATTCGTCAAACAAATAAAATAAAGAACATGTTAAAAAAAAAACTTGAATATGAACTAAGCTGAATAAAGAAATGATGTACTATTCTAGAAAACCTCTTTTGAATATCCTTATTTGTATTTAATCCATCACTTTTCATTGTCAGAGGTGCCAGATTTTATTTCTATTTTTCCTTCCAAATGCTACTGAACTAGGACTACCTCTGGTGACTCGCATGGCTGGAAAATGGCCTGCAGAGCAGGAACAATGAAGAATCAGGTAAATTCTTTTCTGTGCCAGAAACAAGTATCTCTTTTAGGTAAAGAGGCCAGATGTTCTCCTCTATTATCCCACTCAGCCAAGGGGCTTACCGTATCCTCTGCCTCATGTTAAATTCAAGGTTTATTTTATTTCCTTTGCCTGTTCTTAGCTATTTTTATTTTCTTTTAATTTATCATATTACTAAAAGGCAACTTGTTCCCTTTCCCAAAATGCGCTAATTATTTAGTTCTAAGATATCCACTGTGCTGCCATTTTTTAGAATAATCAAAACATTCCTAATCTTAGTTCTCAAAATAAAACATCAGTTAAAACTCTTAATAGCTCTTTAGTGGAGAACAGGACTGAGGAAAAATTGTTATTTTTGAGTTCTGCAGTCACCAGGAGGTTTTGTATTTCATGGACATTAATTTAGAGATTGTAGGGTAAATTGGACACAAAAACCAAGAGGCTCAAAGAAACAAAATGAAAAATATCTATTTTAGAGCTATTTAAAGTGAATAGAAAATGTTTGTGTTCATGATGTTTAATGCCATTTATTACATATTTTCATTTTGTCAGTACATAGCATTTAAAAAGTATATCAATACTTAGCATTTAAGAAGTTAATCTTTTCCTAATTCTATCAGACTTAAAAATTTAGTTGAGAAGAGAGGGCAGGTAGAATTAAACAATAAGCATAAATTAAATGAAAAAGAAATTGTATATCTGCCTATGGGAGGTGGTGGAAATTTGACATGTTTGCAATTTTCTAGAAGCAGGTGAAAGAGGAAGAGATAAAATCTAGACATGTTTATCAATAAGAGTGTGCTTGACTTTTTTCTTGTAGAAGATCAGTCTTACTTAAAAGCATAGAGTTCGCTCAGCAGCCCATAGTGCATTTCAGGCAATATTGATTTATAAACTTTCTTTTGGGAGAAAGGAGGAAAGATTCATCCTGATTCACTCCAAAAAGGTATGAAAAATAGACGATATTTATTTATTTAATTTTTATGAACACAATTCTTTTAATTCTACATTAATGTTGGGATTTATCTAATCCAAACTTCTTTTGACTTTCATGGTTTGTTCCCTGACATGAGAAGCCAAAGTTTTTAAGTAGATGTGGCTCTCCTTGGTGCTACATGAAGAACCCAAATGGCAGAGAACATACTGATATTCTTTCTAAGAAGGCTTAGAGATGGATCTCCAGAAGCATAGGGCTCTAAAGTCCATGGGAGGTTAACATCAATATCATTTCTAAATAGAAATAAAACTATGGACAGAGGATGAATTAATAATAACAACAAGCATTATGGAAAAAAAAGCAAAAGCAGGAGATATTAATCTTGCCTGGAAATAAGGTCTCCATGGCAGGGGATGTTTGGTCAATTCATCTATACACACTCAGAGATGATTTACTGAAACACTACTATATTGCATGCATTCTTCCAGATACAGGAAATACCACTAAGAATTAGCCCCGGTTAGGGGTGCTAGGGGAGGGACAGAGTGGGGGGGAGAGTGGGGGCTGGGGAGGGATAACCTGGGGCAAAATGCCAGATATAGATGAAGGGAGAATGGAGGCAGCAAACCACCTTGCCAGGTATGTACCTATGCAACAACCCTGCATGATCTGCACATGTACTCCAGAACCTAAAGCACAACTAAAAAAAGAAAAAAAAGAATTAGCCAGATAAGCTCCCTGATTTAGAGTGTCTCATATTCTAGTGAAGACAGTTAATTCATAGTCAGCACAACTTGCTTTGAGGTTCTAAGGTTAAGCAATGCTTTTGTATAACGAAAGAATCTCTTCTATCTGGGAAGGCTTACATTTCCCATCAGACAGAGATGGTACTGATCCACACTGAACAGGGTCGGGTAATGGTGGCGGAGGGAAAACTAGCCCCTCTTCCTACCAGAACTGTGGAGTCCATTCTGACTATCAACCTTTCAGTTACCAAAATAGATCTGCCCTGACTCATAAATTCATATTTATCTTCATGGTATGTAATGTATATCCTCTTAAAAACGATACAAATGAATTGAAAGTTAATTCTACTTCTCAAAGTGCTATGAACTCCAAGAATGTTTTCTGCTTCATCTCCTGAATACAAGTTAAATCTGAAGAAAGTTACAATACCTCTGCATTTTTATTCCTCTCATCTCCAAAAGTATGGTTAAAATAAAACCTAAAGTTAATAATATCAAACCATCATCTACTCAACATCTCTCAATTTTGAAGTAGTCTTTTTTTCTGATAACAATCTCATTCAGAACTACCAGTCTTTATATAAGAAAGCCTGGTGGTATTTTTTCTAGTATATATCCTTTTTAAAATACAGTACTTATCTTCTAGTATTTGTCCAATATTATAGTTTTCATGTCCTTTTATGGGAATGCTTCTGAAATTAATACAATTTTAGAGAGTAAAAGTTTTCATAAGACTTCAAGTACTCTGTAATTTATAGGACTTGAATATCATAATCAAAATCACTATACTTACAAGGATATTTATCAGCACATAGCAGTTACCTATAAAAGAATATAATATGAAGAAAGAAATAAGGAGGAAGATGGAAAAATATTTCTTCAGCACTTGAGGTGAAAAAGGAAAGTCAGATGTAATGATGGCATTTAAACTTATCCACTCAAATTGTTCAAAATTTGTCAAGAGATTTCGAACATACAGAACACATTATAACATAGAGGTTAAACAAACATTTGGCTTTTGAAGTCAGAAACATGAAAACTGGAATTTCAACTGTATCACTTATGATTGTATGATTTTCGTCAACTAAGCCTCAGTTTCTTCATTATAAAATTGAGGTCACAGTACATATTTTGTATAGCTGTGAGGATTAATTTGTAATGTTCATAATTCATATAAAACATATTTAAGTACATAAGAAGCACACATATTTAAACAAACACATGCATATTTTTAATAACCTAAGAAAAGAAAAAGGTGCTTTACTC